TTGATCTTCTAAATCGGCGCTGAATTATTACCGAGATTAAAGTTGCAAAATTTCATTTTTTTTCGGTCTTTTGGTTATTTCGGCATTCCGTTTCAATTCAGTATTCGGACTTTTTATTCGGATTTCTGTCCTATGCTGGTACGCTGTTTAATTAGATCCGAGAAATTGATACTAATCCAACATTCTGTTTGATTCGGATTTCTGGTTAGTAATTCGTAATTAGGGTTGAATCAGTATCATGTTTGAAATTCGGCTTTTCTGATTTCCATTCAGCATTCCGTTTTTCGGCATTCTGTTGTAAATCCTATATTTCGTTTTCTTTTGAGATTTCCGTTGTCTTTTAGTATTGGAATTAGGGTTATGAAAATCTTTTTGGTTTTAGATCAACTTGGGGAAATTCGAACGTTTTGGGGACCGTAAATCCGGAAATTTCGCGGAAACGCGGAAAATTAGGGTTGGGACCGAAATTTTCGCGAATTTGTTTTTCATTCCCCATGTTTGAGAAATTCCGAAAACAGGTTTAGGCTTTTAAAAATCGGATTTTGACGGTGGAAATTCCCGAAAATTCGCGTTTTTGAAAATTCGAGCGTATTTTCTCCTAAAATTTTTCGAATTTTTTTTTAGCACACTAAGCGTATCTGACCCTCAAACTGCAACTTCTGGGTAGTTCACTCATTAACGGTGAATTCCCGGACTCAAGTGATCTCAAAGAGACCTAATCATAACACCATTCAAATTCGTTATTTCATTAAGAATTACTATTTCGTTATTTATCATTAATTAATCTTACTGATTAAATCGTTAGTAAATTCTTATTACGAATTTTGGAGTGATTTACAGGAAATTTATTTTTCTGTTTGATTAGGTGTCTACAGTCCATCAGTGGGACAGGGGATTGTATGTATATTGCTTGATTGTTCTACCCCTGTTCCCACTCTCCCTACCCCCCCGTATTCTGTGAACACCGACACCTCTCAAGTACCGCATCAGTTCCGACTGATGTCGATGGAACAGGACACCGGGGCACTGCCACGGCGCAGTGCCAGGATCGCAGTTCGTGCCCGCCCTGCGGTACCTCCAAGACCCAAGAGATTCAGCAGACGGACGACTCCAGCGGCATTGACAGTACAAGACACCACCGAAGATCTTCCCGCAGGCCCGGTCCGAGAGGCCAGCGAGCCTTTGGCTGACTATCGTGGGCGGCTACAAGCATTTACAGACGCCGTAGCCGCTGCCGAGGCTCAACAGGCTGCGGCAGAGGCAGAACATCAGCGGCTGGCCAATGAGGCGGCAGCCGAAGCTCAGCGGACAGCTGAGACTGACGAAGCGGCACGAAACAGACGGAATGCCGCCAGCATGGAGTCCCTGATTGCTAGTGAGCATCAGTGGACAACGGTACTCCAAGGCATGATCTTTGTGCCTACGAAAACACAGACGGAGCCGACACAGGCGGAGGCAGAGAGAAGTAACCTGGCTACCGTGATGTTGAACGTAATGAGGGGAGTAATGTGGAAAAACAAACTACTGCAGGCACACCTGCATGCGGAACGACAACGAAAACAGTAGTACCAGCAAGACCTGGCCGTTGTAACGGCCGGCGTCCGCKACGCAGCAATGCAGCAGCAGCAACAGCAACAGCTGATGAACTCTACCATCGCACGCATCAACGGCATTGAGGCCAAGGCCTCAGCAGCGCCAGGCTGCACGACGGACGCGACGAAGCAAATCAACGAACGCATCAATCACGTCGTCACCATCATCGGCGACATAGGTGTTTTCAACGGACCGGACACGATCAGCAGCACGGTGGCCTCCATCAAGACGGACATCACCAAGCTACAGACGAGACCGGACGCCGCTACAAAGATGTTCAAGATGCCGCACTTCGACATCTGCAAGTTCGACGACTACAACAAGTCGGACGCTTTGACATGGTGGCAACGTTTCCTCACGGGAGCGTCATGCCGCACTGTCCCGACGAACGACATGTTGAAGGCACTCTATTTGCAACTGATTGGAGGAGCGTAGGCATGGATGAACCACCTGGCGGCCACCCACAAGTGCACCATCGCCGAACTCCACACGCACATCACGTGGAAGGAGTTCGAGCAGCTATGGTTCACCCGGTTCATGGTCCGCAACGTCGTGAAGGCGGCCATGAATGAGGTGTACACATGCTCTCAGGGGAACATGCCAACTCGAGACTGGACAACGAAGTGGCAAAAGATAGTGACCACACCAGGCTTCGACTTGACGTTTCCAAATCAACGATCCGAGTTCTCCTCGCGATCATGCGCGGGATTGCGGTCGGCACTCGGTAATGAGTACAACTATACCACATTCCAGGGCATTCTGGATCGAGGGAACTTGGTCATCCAAACGGACGACAAGGCCGCTAACGAGAGACAATCCCAGCCGCATTATGTGGCTAAGCAGGCCTATCAACGTCCGACACATAACAATGCCGTGATTTATGAGGAAACCGACAACCACCACGCTGCAGCAGCATCCTCGGGTGATGGAGGAATTCTCGCAGTGCTCCCGCCGAAGCGTCCCAAGAGAGTTCGTAAGAACAAGGCGACACAAGAGACGGCAGCGACGGGAGCTGGGCAGCCATGGACGGCATATAAGATCACC